TCAGAGGGACTTTGTTCCTGTGAAAATCGTGCTGAGACAGCTGCAGTCATCAGAGAGACATCATAACTTTGCTTGTTAAGGTCATCTTCTGTTGAAAGTGTTTTGTCACGGAGTAGAGATGGCTACTTTCACTGCCAAAAAGCCACTTAAAAAGATTGACAAGAGAGATTAAAGAGGATACAGAAATTTTGGAAGATGTTCCTTTAACCTTTTAATATGGTGCCATCTTGGCAGTAGTGAGTCTATGGCAGGATTAGTTAGGGACCAAGCATTTCTGGAATTGTGTTCCTGGTTTTTTTGCCTCTTTCCATTTGAGGTATCAATTAAGAGCAATTTCACCAGAGCAGTAAAGCAAGAGAGTAAACAGTAAATAAGCAACAAGCAAAATTAAAAACAGTAATGAGCCTTATGAATATGGTAGTGTTATAAGGCTTGAAATGCATTTATTTTGGAGATTAGCATGTTCTGGGAAAACTTGATGGCTTTGTGAATGTATTGTCTCATTTTACATTGCAGAAATTCTGTTTATTGGCCCTGGAGGCTGACAAGGACCTGACACCTGTGCCCAAATGTTTTCCGAACCTTGGCAGCGACAGGCACGTTCATTATGCAGCAGAGTTGTGGATCCATGTGTCCTAAGGCAGGGGAGAGCAGCAGACTTTACCCTTGCAGGGAGAAACAGTTGAGTAGCAAAATGAGTGGGGCAGTGGATTTACTAGCATGACCCATCTTCATGAAAACTGGTGCTTCCGTGTCTGTGCACCACTAGTGCCAACCACAAGTTAGGGGAACTTTGCTTTGGTAACTGAATACTGGGTGCAGGAAATCTCATCAGAACTGGGAAACCTCAAGATGTTTAGTTTTTCTATCAGCTAAAGGGATTAATAAATTCATGTTCGTAGTGCCTTTTAGCATGGATCCTAGCTACAAATAGCATTTGCATGTTGGGAAGAGAGTAGGTTTAGATTGCATATTGAGAAGAAATTCTTCCCTGTGAGGGTGGTGAGGCCCTTGCACAGGTCCCTTAGAAACTGTGGCTGCCCCATCCCTGGAAGTGTTCAAGGCCAGGTTGGACAGGGCTTGGAGCAACCTGGTCTACTGGAAGCCGTCTCTGCCATGGCAGGGGATTTGGAATGAGATGATCTTTAAAGTTCCTTCCAACCCAAACCATTCTATGAGTCTGGGATGGAAAAACATTTGTTATTTTTTGAGGGCCCCTAAATAAAGTCTAACAGAGAAAGGTGAAACAGTGAAGATGTATCCTGTGTTAAATAAGGTTTGTGATTATTCTGAATCATCTAAAAAAATAGTTCAGTGAAAACGTATGCAAGATTAAACAGTTGTGCAATCCCCAGGGTTCAGCAAAGGAGACATTAGTGTTTTACCTATTGATAAGTTCAAGGTTGATTACTTTAGGAAAATGTCAGTTTTTCATTAAAAAAGCATTTTACATAAGTGAAAATCCTGGTCTCTAATGTCACTTCCATGGTTTCTGTGTGGCCATATCTACAATAAGGATAGAATTTCATTAAAGCAAGGCCTGAAGCATACACAGGTGGATTTTATTTTTAAATAGGACTATCTATATAGATTATAAGAGGAAACTTTTGTGAATGTGGTATTTCAGAAGCACTGGTAAGCAATTAGGATCATCCATTTAGTGAATTTTGGTGGTCAGAAAGGCATTAGCTAGGATCAGGTTTTCTCATTCATCATACCCTGTTACTTATGGATAAACAAGGTGATACGGTGTCTTGCTAATTCTCAGATATCATTATATAATATAATTGTGTTCTTCAGAGGCTGTTGAAGGCCATTTCCAATTACCATTGTATATAGGAAACATTGGTTTTAAAACAGCGAGGTTAAGTGTGACACAGCAAACACAAAGCAATCAGGTCATTGGGGGGTGTGCTGTGTTGGGAGAACGGTTGTTTCTGTGTGTGTGCACTGCAGGAGAGAGCAATTTTGTGTATTGAAAGCTTGAACTGACCGTGACAGTAAGAAAGGTATTTGGCTTTTTTGAAGACAGAATTCTAGATGCCAAGATCACTGGGTTCATGCTACTACCCAGATGAGTTTGGGAGTGTGCCAAGAAACTAAAAGGAGCTGATAAACCCCAGAAAAGTTGTAAATCAAAAGCTAGAAAGCTTTCGAAAAATTTAAAAAGCGGGATATACATAGACATGATCATATAATTCTGAAAAAGAGCTTTGATTGCCTCATGGAGATTTTTATATGCCAGCATATCAATGGTCAGACTCTGAGAGCTTTGCACTTTCTAATGAGTATCCCAGTAGTTTGTGTGTTTCTATGAATATTATCTCTCTCTCAAATGATGAGCTTAAAACCTTAACTTTGCTGGGGTTTTATGTGTATCCTTTAATCTGGACTCTGTATTGGTGGGATTATTCCCACGAATGAGGTTTTGCAGGCTTGGTCCCAACATTTATGTGACGGATTATATTGACGCATTTGCTACATCATTGGTCAAAATGAATTCAGCTGTGTTTGTGCACATGGTGCTGTGTCAGCTAGAACTCCCTTTCTCAGGAGATTGTCCAGGAAAGAACATGAATTAAATGCTGCACAATTCTTCTGTACCAAAGAAACCAAAGGCAAATCTCAGATCTTCTCTTCCGCTGCTTCAAACTTCGTTCAGAAGCATGACCTAATTGTTCTCCAACTATTGCTTGAAAAGCAAGAGCCCCAAATGCCACTCAGCTGTCAGTTCTAGAAACACAAAAACTCTTGCTGAATCTTTGGGGAAAAGAGAATGAAAAACTTCTTATAGGCTTTCTGTGCATCTTGAATGTGTGTTTTTAAACTGTTTCCCTTTACTCTTCTTTCTCCTTTCTTCTGTTTTAATGCCGTAAGATAATATAATGTCCATTGCTTATCATATTTCTGGCCTTTCCTATTTCTTTTCTTCTCTGAGTTTAGTGTGAGCTCTTACTTGGCATTATGAGCATGTGTATAATTAATTTTAAAAAACTTTTTCAATTCTACTGATATCAAAAGTACTATTAGTATGCAATTAGTATGCCCATACCTAAGCATCTGGCTGAGTTGTAGCTTTATGCATTCAGAAATATGGATGTTCTTACAAAATCCATGGATTTCAATCCGTATCAGTTGAACTGTTCCCATTTTCAGTAATGAGATTTTGAAAAGACTCTGTATAAAAAAAAGTTTTAAGCTACTTGTACAATGGCCAACTTCAGAAAGCACCTGAAAAAATGTTTGCACACTGGGAAATTAATGCTACTAAAGAGCAATTCAGACCTGAAAACTATGGCAGATACCACAGCAGTCATCACAATTTGCATGCCATGAACTTTTAATGACTCTGTGCTTCTAATTTATCAGTCGTTCTCTGGCATAGAAATCAGTTAAATAAGTACAAGGTTTATTATTACATGCAGAAAACTACATTAAAAGAAAACCTTACAGCTGCAAAGTTAGTAAATACCTAATTAAGTTAAGAATTAAGTTAGCAGCCTTAATTCATCTCCGTTGTCTGTACTTACAGTGCTACACCCTGTTTCTCCTTGGCATGCAATCCTGGAGCCAGCCAAGAAGTTGAGGACCTGACAAGAGCAGGTAGATCAGCTGCTGGATCAGAGGCACAGCCACTGCAATGCTGGTAAGTGGCTTTTCCTGGGAGTTAGGGAGCAGGTGGATGAAGAGATTAAGTGGCCAAAGCTGCAATCCAGGGCTCTGCATGGGATCTCTGTCCTTTGGGGCTCGGGGAGGAAGGACGAAGAACAAGGACCCTGCTGAGCCATCCCTTGCTGCGTCACTTTGTCCTCACACCCAGCAACTCGTTTGCTTCCCAGGCCCTGGGAACTGCTGCTGTGCTGCTCCTGCACTGCTGAGGGCATCCACCAAGGCTGCTGCTGCTTGAGGAACACCTCAACCAACTGGGAGTGTGATGGCTGTGCTGGCCAGGGCATGAGTGAGAGGCAAATTACCTGGCTGCCCAGGGCTGGGGCCAGGGTCCAGGCTGGGCCTGGCAGCAGGGGCTTAGACTTGGCTTGCTCAAGGAGGGCTGTGGGCACCATGATGGCATCTCCTGCCATGGGCCTTGGTGACCATGCTGCTGACCTTCCTGCCTCTTCCTGCTGCCTCCAGTGACAATTTAGAGCTTGTCAGCCCCAACACTGCCAGCCAGCTGGCATCAGAGCTGTCGCATGGCTCCCTGGTGCCTAAAAGCCGCAGCGGCTCCTGCCACCCTGGGCCCAGTCCAGGTTCAGCACCGACCAGGGAAACAACAGCTGGCACAAAACTCAGCCAGCCTGAAAAATACCACAGGATCAACCATGTGCCAACCCGGAATGTTGAAAGCAGCAGCCCCAGCACTGTCAGTCAGTCAGTGTCGGGGCTCTCCCATGGCACAGTTATACTGGGAAAGAGTTTGAATCTTTGGTCTCGTGCTCAGCTTTCACCATTCCCTGTAATGCTTCCTGCATCCGCTCCTGTCCCTATAAAATGAACAGCCAGTCTCTCTTTTAGGAGAGAAAGGCAGAAGAATCTCCTCAGGACACAGGTGCAAACACCATGTCCCTGACAGTCCCAGCCCTGTTGGGCAGTGGTGGCTGCTGTAGCCCTGTGCTCGCTCAGTGCTTCCTGCCCAAACTCACTACAAGGGTGGCCTGCGAGTTTCTTGCTGGGTTCTGTGCTTTTGGTTTGTGTGAAGTCAATGTGCCTGGTTGGAGTGTGGCCTCATGCCTTAATTGGTGGTGTCGTTTGTATGCTCTGGGAAGATTTTGAGCTGTTGGGCAGGTGGGACTGAGAGCACGGAAGGCACCTGGTTTTGGAGTCTCGTGTGATTTTGTTCATGCAAGGACACTGACTCCTTTTTTTCCATTCTAGCTGTTTATTGGAGTACTCTTACCACATTTTATCTCATCTAATTCCCTCTCCCCGTCTCTGTAGTAATCCAGTTTTAATGTCCTTTTTTTCTCCACAGCAACTTGCCTGACCTTGGCATTGTTTCCAAACATTTAAAGACAAAAGAGGAAGTGACCAAGCACATACTGAAGTTCATGGTAGCAGGACAAAGGTGATGCTCATACTGGAACTGGGAAGGATCTGCCCGGATCCAAGGAAAAATAAGTTTACTTAGATGATAATTAAGTTTCAGAACAGGTTCAAAGTTGTGCACTCACCAGTTTTTGGACCTTTTCAAGATCCAAGTGGACAAAGTCATGAGAAATCTGATCCGAATTCTGGGCTGACCCTGCTTTGAGCAAGAGACTGGACTATAGAGCCAGCCTGAGAGATCCCACAACTCTCTGAGGGCATTGCCAGACCTCTGTTCTACAGCTCTGTAAGTTGCTACTAAGTATTGGAGAATTGTTTTGTTATGGTTTGGGGTTTTCTTTTTTGGACTTGCCTAATCTAATTTATTGAAGAGGGTTGTCCCTCAGATTCTTACCTTTGTTATTCTCCCTCTTTTATAATTTCAGCTTCCCTCCCTGCTTCTGTTTTTTACACTTTTGCCCTCAAGTTTGGGAATACAAAAGCCTTTAAAGGAATGAGTTACTAGAATTTAGTAACCCTGGCAAACTATCCGGTATTCTCTTTGATACATTTTTGAATTGAACTGTTTTGGCTGAGACTTTCAGAAAATAGTAATAATAATCTGGAGGCAAACACTCAGGAGAGAAAATTGTATCCTGATCTATTGTAGTTCCTTAAAGGGCAAATGAAAACTGTGTTATAATTAGAAGTAGGAACAGCTTCATCTCTGATAAAGCTGGGGGGTTTCAACTATGATCTAAATCAATAAGAGATTCCTAGTAAAATGAAAAGGAAAATGTTTTTTTAATCAGAGGCATTAAAGAGATGTACTGCTAAACTTTCCCTGGAAAAATGGTTTGTGTATGTGTGCTTCTCTACACTCATGGACATGCAGGTACCTACCTGGAGAAGCATGAGGGAAAGCTTCCCTCCCCTCTTAAATGTAACATGTAATTAAGGAAGCAAACTTAGTGTTTCAAATAAATATTTAGATATAGATATAAATATTTCAAATGAGATATGAAGTTAATTGTAAGGGCTTTGTGTAATACAGTCAAGGATTTTGACTTAATCTAGCAGTTTGAAATATATTTTTATAATAATTATTAAGAATATTGGGATGGCACAGTCCTTTATATTATACTTGTAAGAGATTAATTTGACTCATCTTAATGTTAGAGAATTTAGCTAGCAATTTTAAAAATGCTAAATGAAGTGCAAAGGCATTGCAAATATTTTTAAAATTATGTTTTTTAAGCAATTTCAGTTTTCCTCGAATAACATTTTTCAGTATATTAATATTATATGCAATATAAAATGAATTATTGAGTTAGGTCCACACATTATTGATTACTATCCATCCTTGCAACTATTTATAGCATATACTTTTTTCATGTCTCAAATGTGTTTAAATTTTCCCTGGAGCTCAGTATCATTGATATTTTTAGTAATACTACTGTACAACTCACATTCAGTAAAACTTCACCTATTTATAAAGAGCTCAAAACCACTAAGTATTGTAGAAAAAGTCTTTTGCTTTTCTCTGATTGGGATTTGGGTGTTAAATCTCACTTTGAAGTCTTGTTCCGTGGTAAGGGAATCTAAACCTGTTGCTGAAGTTTTCATTAGTTTTATAAGGAGAGGATTGTTTTGACAGAGACTCTGAAAAACTGAGTGGGTGAATTGGAGGGCAGGAGAGTCACCGAAAATGTCTTCAGTGAATAGACATGTAAAATTCCATGTGTTACAAACAGGGCTGGTACTGGGCTGTCCTGGGAGAGAGAATGTCAGGGAAAAAATGGTTGTAAAGCTCACTGCCAGTGGTATGGGTAAAATAACATAATAATGAAGAAAGAGTCAGAATCAGCAGGTGCTGGTGGTGCCTTCCCCTCACGTCACCTCCGTCGCCCTGGGCCCGGCCAGACAGTGGCTTATTGCCACCAAATTATTTCCACCCTGAGTATCCAGGGCTGAAGGGTTTCCATGATGGAGCAAAAACAGCAGGGAGGGCATTCCATGCACCAGTCCAGGCTGGGGACTGAGCTGCTAGGAAGCAGCTCTGTGGAGAAGGACCTGGGGGTGCTGGTGGGGAAGCCGGTGTCCCTGACCAGCAGTGAGTCCTGGGGGACAAGGCGAGGGCATCCGGAGGTGTGTGAGGAAGGGCACTGCCTGCAGGTCAGGGAAGGGATTCTGCCCCTCTCCTCAGCCCTCAGTCCAGTTCTGGGCTGAGGAGCTGGGCCTATTTAACCCGGAGAAGAGAAGACTCAGAGGGGACCTCATCCCCTCTGTCAGTGTCTGCAGGAGGTGCCGGGGAGGGACCAGGCTCTGCTCGAGGGTGCCCAGCAGTGGGACACGAGGCAATGGGCAGAAACTGGGACGCAGGAAGTTCCACATGAATATGAGGAAAAACTTCTTTACTTTCATAGTGACTGAGCATCGAAACAGGCTACCCAGAGAGGCTGTGGTCTCCCTCACTGGAGATACTCAGAGCCCACCTGGACACAGTCCTGTGCAATGTGCTTTAGGAAGACCCCGCTTGAGCAGGGAGGTTGGACCAGATGACCCACTGTGATCCCTTCCAACCTGACCCGTTCTGTGATCAGGAGAGGATACACAACCAAAAGCCATTTTAGTTGTGTGACCTGTTCTTTATGTCTTTTGAAAATAGAATGTGCTGCTTCCTTGTCTTTTCCCTCTAGAACTCAGAGGCATTTCTTCATAGTAGCTCTGTATTTAGGCAGCTACCTCATCATTATTCATCTAAGTCATCAAAATCATAAAAAGGACTAAAAACCCTGATATGTTATAAATAAAATATGGGAAGGAGGACAGTGATAAAATACGAGTTCATATATTTGAGGGAATACCCACCCAAAAGCTCTTACATGGCAGTTGTAATGTTTTCTTATTGTTTGAATATTGCAATCAAAGAATAAAATGCAATACGATCAATAGTTAGAGCTGAAATCTTATAGATGTGTGACAATATATGTACTCAGTCTTCATTCAAAATTCACACAGTTTGTATTTCCTCCACTGTAATTGCCTCTGTAGTGTGGCTTTCAATAGCTGTAAATTAACTCTGTCATAATTACTTTCTTTTTTTTTTTCCTCTTGAATATTTCTATCCTTGCTGTAAATTGTATTTCTGTTACTTCCAGTATTGATATAATGATGTGTCCACTAAGACAGCACAGTATCTGGACATGTATATATCTTTTTGGAATAGTTTTCTTTCACCCTCCCCCATTTTATTGGTACACTTGATTTCTCTTGGCTCTGAGCCCAGTTTGGTTTAATTTTTGTTTATTCTGTACAGGATTCCAGACTGCTTTGAGATGGGCACTGTATAAATTAATAAATAAATTCAGTATATGCTTGCTTTTAGTGGTTTGCTTGGCACATCTGTTTTTCAGAGGTTTCTAAATCTTCATGATCTGCAGAAGATATCTTTAGTTACATACGATTAGGGAGAGTATCATATTTTTAACATGTACAGGGTTTCCCATTAAAAAGTCATCATTTACTAACAGTTACACTGCTCTGGCATATTGGATGCTGCAGTATGTCTCAACAGTTGGAAAGTAGAATAATGGTTCTATTTAAGACAATATGGGTATCTTAACTATGGTATATACTTGTGTTTTTGATGCTGAAAACTTGTTTTGTACTCAGAATGTTTTTAAGGATTTGTTGTTGTTTTTTTTTTAATAGTCTTTGCATACATAAATATAAATGTTGCATCCTTTTGAAAATACTGACATCCCTTCAGTATTGCAGAAGCTTTCACGAGCAGAACTGTAACAAAACATTGTTCAACACATTGCTTATAGCCAGTTGCATTGCTTTGGCATAACCAAAATTATTTTAATGGAAAACTAGGGGCATTTCCCATTAAAAATTGCTGATTTTCATGATTATTTATGTCAAGGTATCAAAAAGCTTTTTCAAGAAATATTCAGCAAACATTGTGGCACTAAATTAAGCCATAAGTAGCTCAGAAAAGAGAAGAGACTGCCACTGAGCCAGGCAGCAGTTAGAGAGCAATGGCAGAGTTGGTTCTGCAGGAGAGCTGGAGATTTGAGTTGTGCAGAGATCTAAAGCTGAGGTCAAAGAAAACGTTTGTGAGGAAAGGGAAAAACCCTCATTTACTGAAGTGTATAAGTCTCAGGGGTTTCCCTTCTCATACTGAAGCCAGCATCATAAACTGCACTGCTCACAGAGCACCACATTCTTCCAGTGATGTAAATGGAACGAATAAGTCCTATTTATGACTTGTGGGTTACAATTTTTATTGCAATACTTGAAGTGAAGGTGGAGAGAAAGGGAGGCACAGGGAGAAGGGTGGTGTGCAGATCAACATATACCAAATGAGCACTAAGGTAAGGATATCTCAGGTATCTTTTGTGGGAGATCAAATGGCATATTTTTTAAAGAATCTAATTAGACAGGTGAAGAACATCCTTTGGAGGCAATGTGGTAGGCAGAGGCATACTTGTGAATCCAGTGGACATTAGAGTCTGACTGGAGCACTGAGTTTATCAGCACTGTGAAGAGTCAGTGCTTTTAGGCAGGCCCACATAAGGAGCAATCTGTGAAAGAACTATTGATGGCTATGAGGATGGCAATCATAGCCATAAACAATGGGATTAGGTGCTAACTGAGTTTAGATTCTGAAGGATCTCAATTTTGTGTTAGTGCTTTCCTCCTATCTAAGGCGGCATATGGGTTTAACCTGAAGTCTTTAAACAGCCTCTTGGTAGTCTAGACAAGCCTTTCCAGATGTGCAGTTAGTTCCTGGGTAAGAAAACACAGATAATTTCAACAAAATCTGTGCATCTGAATCTTCACAAATATGTTCATCAGCAGTGTTTTGAGATAAGACGTTATAGATAAAATAAAAAGGGAAAATGTGTGGAAAATAAGTTCCTATTTACAAAATACACATGGTTAAAAAAAGGGAGAGAAAGAAAGGGACAGAATCATGTGTCTGGATACACCAGCACATATTAAAAAGCAGTGGTGCTGTGCACCTTAAATAAAGCCACATAAACCAACCTAAAACCTCCTCCATTTGCGGAGGGAATACATGGAAATATTTCTTTAAAAACCTATTTGAAATTTAAACATTTTCTGTCACCACGACCGTAAGTAACCCAGTCCATTGCCACAGGGATGCTCAAGAGTCAGAAACATGGTGATGGAACAGAAGAAAAGGGACAATAATGGGAGCAGATTTAAAATGGTGCAGGCAGGCAACTCTTTGAGTGGCAATGTTTCCCATTTCTTTCCTAAGCACATCCACACTTAGTTTCCGAGAAAGCAGGAAGGACACTTAGGCAAATTGCCAACCAGATGGTGCAATCGAAGAGGAGGAATGCATTCAGAAGGGCAGTATAACACAGAATTAAAAAATCCTATCATTTGGTTTTCTGCTACAATACAGGACAAAATTCACATGGAAATAAAAAATGTTAACTATACACTCATGGCTTCTAGTCATCTTTCTGTCTTGGCTTCAGAAAAACTTCCACCTTTGAGCTCTACTGTGATATTCCCCACTCTGAAGTAATTTAATGCGTTCCAATTTTATGTTTCTTGCAGATTTTTTCAAAACTGCCTTATTATTGCCTAAATATGTTTCTGCCAATATACAAAATTTCACTATGATAGAAGGATGAAGCCGATTTTGAGGACTTGTATAGTTCTTGCTCTTGTATATGATGAAGAAAAGAAAGTAATACTTGCTTTCTAGACTTCTATATAATCAGTAGATAAGATAATATCAGTGTGGAATTAGTGGCAGACCAAGGAATTATACTGTTTTTCATATTTCATGTACTTTCTAGTTTATTACTGAAACTACCTGGTATGTTTGCATTTTGTCTTTGGAATAATTTTATATTCTTTTTTACTTAAAATGTGTTTTTATTTCACTTACAATGTATTTTTATTTATATCGTAATTTGGCTCTTTTCAAAACCAGACTGAGTGTGTATTGCATATATTATGCACATATAGAAATACAGATTCTCACCCTGCTCCTCTGACTTGCTTTTAAATTTCAGAAGATACATATAGAAATGTGTGAAGTTTTCTAGCGAGAATATTTGATAGTTATTTTAATGTAATTTTTGCTTATTAGTAGCATAGTTTTGATTACGTGATTGGATGCAACAATTTCATGTCGATACATAATCAGAACTTGACAAATCTAGTCATAATTGAAGAGAGGAAGCCATATCCTGGCAAAAATGTAGGAGCCAACCATCTGTCCTGAAGATTGTCAGCCTTTTTGTTATGTATTTTATGTCTATATCTTAATATTCTATAAATACATATTTGGAATATCTATCCTCTACCTTTAATCTTGTGAATGGCTCCAAATGAGATTCAGCTACAGCATGTTAGCATTACCTTCATGAATCTTAACAAGAGCTGCCTCCTTCTTTCTCTGTCCAGCCTTACTTGGTCTTCATGTAGTGCTCTTGACAAACAAATGCTTGTGATCTACGAATGAAAAGAAAACGAAGAGTGTTATGAATTATAATAATTTTTTATTATTTTAAAAATTTAATTATGGGAGCCCTTCTTTGTGATTTCATTACTTGGATTATAGAAAGCCATGTTGCCATTTTTGTTTCTTCAGCTTCCTGAATTCTGAATCTATTTATTTATCCTGCAGATTTTTTTTTTCAGTAGTTAAAATCCAGTCTGGTTTGTGAGAAACCAAATGTGATCTTCATTCTTTCCTTCTTGGAAATCCCTTCCAGTTATAAAGATTTTACAGGTGATTTTTGACATTGATGGGCATAGAACAAGCTCTGTTGTATTCAGATTACATTCTCTGTAGCACATGTATAACCTTATTTTTCTCCCAGGTGGTCTGAAGAATATTTGAGATTTTACCTGTAATACAAGGTTGGACAACCAGAGACAATGCTGCATTCAGCTGGTAGAACTGCCTTACTGATAGAGTCACTGTCAGGGCTTTTTGTGAAATTCACATTATTTCTGGTGTTTTTATCTGCTGGTGGAAGAAACTAAAATCCAGAAAAGGGAAATGGAGATATAAACCACTCGGTGACAGTTTCCAATCAGTTTGAGTTCCTCTAATCTTTTGAGTTCTTAAGTTAAATCAGCCATTGCTTGAGATTTTTTGTGTTTGTCTGAAGAGGCCAGGGGCTTATTTTTAATTGCATCAAGGTCCCCAAAGGTTTTGTCTTTGTCCATGGTAAGTAGTTTTATCTCCACTTTATCTAGGTAAGAGCGAACTTCACGCTCACCAAGCTTTTCTGGGAGAGTCAACTACTTTTGAGCTACTGTTGTTTGCTAGAGAAAATACCAAAAGAACTAGCTGACAACTCATCTGTGGACAAATAGGAGAGATTGTTGTCATGCTCTATGTGAAAAGGGTAATAATGTCTTGAAAGCCAAGCTAGACAGTTGAAAATCATAAATATCAGGCAGTGTCTTGTAATGGGACCAGAAGTATTGCAGATATGGTGTTGACATCGTCAGTGTTGGTAGTTGTTAGGGGGACAGCTGGGCACAATGTACTTTTGTGAAATAACAGAAGTTTAGGAATTCCAATTCCACTGACTTCAGGGGAAAAAAAAGAAAAAAAACACCCAAGCTGAATTAGGAATTATTAGGAGAGAAATAGAAGACAAATTGGAAAACATGACTGTCTGTGTAGAGCTGTGGTACAATCTACTTCTTCAGTGCTCTGAGTAATTCTCATGCTCCCATTTCAGAGTGCATATGTGAAGAGTGATAAAGGTGATCAGGCTTATGGAGCAGTTTCTGTGTGATAAAAGAAGT